TCATTCCTGGCGGGGTGCACTAAGATGTTCGATAATAAAAAGGTATGCCTACTGTTACCAAGTAAGTAGGCCAATATGAGACATTAAATGTCCTGGCAGAGGTATACAACGGTTCTATGAATCGCAAATTACCGAGAATGCGCTTTGGTACGATAGGGCAATATAGATCCTTCGTAGTGCAGAAGTTGTGCGCTAAGTTCCATGAGGGTTGGTGCCCCTGCCCCAGTGATCGCAACTCTACGTTTTAAGTATGCTTTCGTTAACAGAATATGTGGCATTGATAAAATGTTCAATTTTGACACGTTTTTGCGTACCATTATGCATTATTGTCCAAACGCACAGTATTCGGTGTCATTCCGACACTAGTTAGATGTTGTTAGAGAAAACGAGGTCCTACCACAGCATCTGTTACTACATAAACCATGGATATATGTTTGGTGGTTAGTAATTTCCCACAAAACGGTCAGCAATAAAGTTAAGCAAGAACCCAATTGGCTAATCGCAATTATGTCGTCATTTCCAGCTCGCCAACATGTGTACATTCAGCAACCAAACACATGCTCGCAGAAGACCAATTAAGCGCCAAAAGGAAATTACCACACTCTGCATGAACGTATTGATTGGCATCAATTAACAACACCCCGCGTCATTACCTTAGCGCTGAATAGTCGGGCATTAATTCAATTCCACTCTCTAAACGCACATCCCTTGGTGGTATTGACGGTGGTGTTGTGAGCGGCGTCAGTCATTGAGCCATGGTGGTGTCATGCGAAACTCTCTTGGAGGCAGCATGGTGTTCAATTTGCCAAGAGACTTGCACAGATGCATATCGCCTGCCATGCGAACATGTCGTGTGCAGAGAACCCTGTCTGCAGAGGTTGCTCAATGCAGAACGACCCACCTGCCCAAATTGCAGATTAGTCTTCTCCGAGGCAGATGTGGAGCCCTTTCAAACCGTCGATGATTTTCCCAAGCTTATTCAGGAGCCTTCGCAAACCAAACAACACGCAGAGTCGGCAAAATGCCCAATATGCGTCCGTAAGGTATATGCGCCGCTGCAGATGTCAGAACACTTTTCGAAACGGGTGTGCGGTGACTGTTGGAGAACGGGGGAAATGCTCCGTGAATGTATTATGGACGAACCTCCCCCGAGAGAACCTTCGCGTGGCATTTGCCGCAGTGGGGACGTTACGCTGCAGGACAACCAACAGGCCAGGGGATTAAGATGTCCAGTGTGCTGTCGAATGGTAGAAACTCCGTTGCGGATATCGGAACACTTTTCGAAACGGGTGTGTGGTGACTGTTGGAAAACGGGCGAAATGCTCCGTGAATATATTGTGGACGAACCTATTCAGGGAAAGACTTCGGCTGGCATTCACCGAAATAAAGAGGTTGCTGTGCACGACAACCAACAGGCCAGGGAAGGATGGTGTTCTTTCTGCTCTCAATGGGTAGACACACCGCTGCAGATGACACCGTATTTTTCGGAACCGGTGTGCACTGAGTGCATGCGGTCGGCAGAAAGGGGCCTTCACAGTAACAGCCGCAAAAGAGGCCAACATGTTGGTGAGCAAGGCAGGGGAAATGCTTCTTACTTTGCTCCTGAAGAGGAAAGTGGAAATCACGTAAGTGGCATCGAGCGAATGGCAGCACAGAACCCTCCAGCAACAAGTACACCTCACCTACCCAGGAATGCACAGCAGCACGCCCGCCAGGATGCCCAAAGATCTTCCAGACAGGGGGTTGACATATCGGCAGAGGAGACTCATCCAGCACCCAGAGCACCCATCCGCGTGATCGAACCCACCCCTACAGAAATTTCTGGTGGCATTCTTTCCAGTGGGGAAGTTTTCTGGCATAACAACCAACAGAACAGGGGTAAAGAACGATGTCTCTTCTGCTTCCGATGGGTAGAAACGCCGCTGCAGTGGACGGCGTACTATTCGGAACAGGTGTGCAATGAGTGCAGGAGGTCGGCTGAAATGGGCGTTCAGAGTAGCAGCCACCACAGAAGCCAAAATGGTGTTAAGCAAGACAGGGCATATGGTTCTTACATTGCTCCCGAAGAGGATTGCGGATATCGCGTAATTTACGTCGAACGATCGGCAGCAGGGAACCCTCCAACAGTCAATGCTATTCCCCTGCCCTCGAATACACCGCAGCTCGTTCACACTACAGTCAACTCTAAGGATGCCAGAAGGTTTAAAAGACAGGGAATTGACCGATGCGTAGAGGAGGCTATTCCAGCATCCCGTGCACCTACCCAGAGAGAAACTTCGGCTGGAGTTCGCTGCAGTAGGATACGTGCTGTGCAACACAACCCACGGGCCGCGGAAACAAGGTATCCCTTTTGCTATCGAAGCGCAGGAAGGCCGTTGCAAATGACGACGTACTCATCGGAACCGGTGTGCAATGAATGCAGGAGGTCGGTAGGATGGCTCAAGAACAACAGCATACAACAGGCCGCGGAAGCAAGATATCGGTACTGTTCTCGAGGGGGAGAAACGCCACCGCAGAGCACGGAAATAAGCAGCGGCAGCAGAAGATGGCAATATGTACCGCGGACGGATTACTTTTCGGAACAGCGTTTTAATCATTATTCGCACTGGAGAACTCATCCAGGAACTGGCTGCTAACGAAACTTACTTCTAAATAACTTCTGTTGATTCATAGAACAACTATCTGGAAAATTTCGTGGTTCGGAAATCTTTCATTTGCCAAGCATACGAAGAATGCTTTACTGTGCATTCTGCATTACACTCCTATTAACATTCGTTTGATTTTCGTTCCCCTCCCCTAATATGTTTACGTTGAAACAAATATTATTGATTTGTTATATAGCCATTATCTGCATTTGGGGTTTACTATCGAAGATTAGTTATATTGATGTAAGTAAAAGGTACTTTATAGACGGCTCTAATAATCAGGGCAACGCAGTGATGACAGCTTTTGCACACCAACAATTTCCTCACATCTACCTCATGAGATACCCAAACGACTATAAGATCTGTCAGGTGCTGATATAGGTACTTTAGCCGACTGGCGGACTGAGAGTCAGATTTCAATGGCTCCCTTATACTGTGCCCTCAATTACACTTTTTGTTTTTAACTTCACGGCGTACGGTGAGCCTCGTAGCTGGATGGTATAGCGTTGGCTGCGCAAAAGCCTTCCTCGCTGTGTGGGATCGAACTTCCATCGCCAATTTTTCACAATTTGGTCAACCGAATTATATAACACTGTCAGGCGTGTAAGATCCTAGCGACCCATTAGATAGCTTGGACTGGTGCTTGGCACACGGAACAGAGATTGACGTCAAGTCTGAGAGCCGCTGCCCCATCGCGATCCAACGTTTTCCTCACTTACATATATGTACTAAGTCGGACGCGAGTGAATGTCAAGTCAAGTCAAGTTTTTTGAAGGAAATATTGGCAAAACGCCTTTGAAATCCCTCTTGGTACATAGTATTCAAGAAATGCATCGGCACAGCCGAACATT